TGCCGTTTCCGGCTCCGTGTTGTTCACGAAGTAGGGGAAGTGCCGTCGGAAGACATGCGCCACACGAGAGTCTCGAGCAACATAGATCTCACCACCACAAAGCCAGACCCTCAGAGGCGGGACATATGAGAAAGCGCCGTCATGAAAAGCAACGAATATAAGGGAGAAAGAAAAAGAACAGCAAGCAACACATATACTACATACCTTGGATTTGCTTGTTTCACGCATGTTGATGCATCTTTGATGTTTCACACATGTCGACCAAAGAGTTGTTTGCATCCTTTTTTTGGCGTTGGCAATGCTAAGGTCTTCTCCGGATGGATTGCTCGATGTTCTCTGCACCCCACATGTTCATGCCATAGTCGTACCTTCCCAGTCGGGGAGGCTAACAGAACTCCCAACAAACTTCGTCCCTGTTGAGATTGTGGTCTACCATTCTGAGCATCATATACATGAAAAGGGGAACAAGAAGCTACTAGGAACAAAAGGCATCGCTACTAGGAGCAAGAAGCTACTATATAGTAGCTCCTGGCCATACTGCTAGAAGCATTCTTGCTACTAGAAACAAGATGCTGGGGTGCCAATCTTCATCAAAGACACTCACCCGACTCGTGCCACCACTTCTTGGAGATCGCGAAGAGGCCTCGCGCAACATTGGAAGGGACTTTCGAGGCTGCTTGTTCCCTCTCGGACATCACCAAGGGTGGCCTCCACTCATGCATGGTACCACATCCGAGCCATCTTCAAACCAATTGAAGAACAGCGTCCAGTCAAACCTGGCAAGAGAGGAATGTTTGTGTATGCATCACGGAAGTCTTGGAGACAGCCTTGAACAGAAAAGGTCATATATAACCGGTTTAAAGGGGTGTAGAGCTCCCAGGAAGAAGATGTGCTTATTAGCCCAAGCTGCATCATCTTCACTCCAACAGCGTTGTTGTCAATCTGCCAAGTTTTGTCATCCAAGATGGGAATCAACGGCACCACGACACCTCAGTCGGAACAAAAAATCAAAAACACACGGCATCGCTACTAGCAGCAAGAAGCTACTAGTAGCTCCCGGCCATAC